GCTCCCACCTCCTCCAGGAAACTTTCCCTTAGCCTCTGCCAGCAAGCATGTGGAATACTGGAGCTGGAAGAAACCTAAAACCTCACCTCCTCTAGGCCCCTTGCTGTGCAGATGGTGTGGGGAGGACTCTGAGAAGATGACTTGGAACAGCTCAGAAAGCAAGCTGTTTCCATGACCAGGATGTTTCTCCTTTTCACCCTCACCTCCCTGTTAGCACAAAGCTTCTGACTCCAGTCTCTGTGTCGTTTACTCAGAAGGACCCGGAACTGTAGATTCTCTGGTCTTTTTAATCTGTCAATCCAGCCTCACTTTCCAAAGGCAGCTACAACGCTGCCAGGGTCCTCTGGATCCTACCGTGGGTGCAGTAGATACAGATTCTGAATCAAGTTTTTCTGTGGGGTAACTCAAGAGTAGGGGGAACTTATGCTTGCAGACCTCAGGGTCTTCCTTCCTTCCTTCCTTCCTTCCTTCCTTCCTTCCTTCCTTCCTTCCTTCCTCCCTCCCTTATATTTCTGTTTCCTCCCTCCCCCTCCCCCCCCTCCCCTCCCCTTCCTTCCCTTCCATAAATCTATCCAGCCATCCAGTAAACAAGTGAGTAATGAGTATCTCCTAAGTACTATATGAGCAGAATTGTGAGAGGGAAGTCCTAGGGCAGTATGGGGAGCCCAGAAGGAGGGCATAGGTCTCACCAGTAGAACAGAGGGCCCAGGCAGCTGGATGATGTTCTGGGGAGACTGACCAACAGGAAGAGTCATCATCATCACCTCACTACAACTTTCTGGACCTCTTGCTTCCTATGTGCCCCTCCATGTACCTACCTGCCAAATGGAGCAGGAAAGATATCCTGTTTTCCTAAGCAGGGGGTCCTGTGGGTCGATTGTCCCAGGACAGTGTCCCTTCTACAGGGAGCAACTGTTTTTTCTTTCCTTTTTTCTCGCTCTTTCTTTCTTTCTTTCTTTCTTTCTTTCTTTCTTTCTTTCTTTCATGGGGCTTTTTGCTAGTCTAACAGTCCCCCCTCTGAAGAGG